CGTTGGTGAGGTTGGCCCAGGATCGAGCATTGTTTCGTTCTGCTGTGCATGGGGTCGCTATGAGTCGGTTCCGACTCGATGGCACCTGACAACAACAACTGTAAAATAAGGCACTCTAGTAGCATAGTGGATTATGAGTTGAGCTACTAACCACGAGGTCAGCAGTTCAAATCTACCAGCCGATCCATGAGAGGAATGAGGCTTTCTGTTCCCATAAAGATTTACAGCCTCGGAAACCCTATACAGAGTCACTATGAATTGGAAACAACGCCGTGGCACACAACCACCATCACTACTGTCGATAAGGAGCACTGGTGTGGTGCTGTAAACTCAAGCACTGGACATCAAGGTTGCCTTGAACCACAAGTTCAGAGGTTCAAACCCACCAACCACTCTTTGAAACCCTATACAGGGTTACTATAAGTCAGAATTGACCAGACAGCACTTAACAACAACAATTGTAGAATAAGATCTCTTATAAATCATATACTTGTCTGGCCTGTGTCTCACTACTGATTAATAATAAATGCGAAATTGCTGTTTTCTGCACCAAAGTAGTAGTATTTTTCCATTTAAATTTTTATTAAATTTGGTCCTTGTGAAACTGAATTGACAGTTCTTGAATGAGGTCTAGAATATATCAAAGTCCTTGGACAAGTTTTAAAAATTAAACAAACATGATTATCCATAGAACTGGCATACTTGGACTTTGGCTTTGCTACCACTCCCCTTCTTACATTGTTTTTGTTGTTGTTAAGTGCTGTCTAGTCGGTTCTGACTGACAGCAACCCTGCATAGGGTTTCTGAGGAGTGACTGGTGGGTCCGAACAGCCAATATTGCGGTTAACAGTCCAATACTTATCCTACAGTACCATTATGAGGACCCCTTTCTTACCTTAGAAGATATTTTAAAGTCCTCATTAAAATTAAAATTATTAATGGGATACATCTTTCAAGTTTTTTAACAGTATGGTAAAATTTTACCAACTGGTCCATCTACACATCCTTACACACACAGGATAATAAACTTCCTAACCTCACATTAAAAATCCTACTAAATCATAAGACACTATCTCTATTACTAAGTGGTACTTACTACCTTTTGTTTCCAGAAAATGTACTTCATTGAATTCTACTACATGGGACACATCCCAATAAGCATATAGAGAAATCAGAATCATAAAAAGTGCTTTGTACGAAGTACGAATTGACAAACATTTGCAGTCAAGCTGCCTGGTAAAAATTCTACTTACCCTTGAAGAGTAATGCACTCCTGGGAGCTTTCCGCCCAACAGCCACTCAGCATCGCAGCAAAATAACTAGATCTGGCACTTAAAATGGCTCTAGAGGGGAGAGGGGAAAAACACAGGTCAACATTTATGTACTATGCAAAACGTAAGTTTTTTAATGAAACACTTCATCATTACCTCATAAAACATGATGATAATCTGTTGTTGTTTGTGTGTACGGGTAGGACTGCTATAATAATGAAAATTATGACCCTCTATTCATATCTAATTAAGGAGCTCTGGTAGTGTAGTGGTTATGAATCGGGCTGCTAACTGCAAGCTCAGCAGTTTGAAACTACCAGCTGTTCCGAGGGAGAAAAATGAGGCTTTCTGCTTCCGTAAAGATTTACAGCCTCGGAAACCCTATACAGAGTTGCTGTGAGTCGGCACTTACTCCAAGGCACACAGCCACCACCACCATAATTGCTCAATTAAAACATTCATTCCTTTTTTACTTCCTAATTTTTTTTCTCATAAAGGGTTCTTAATAATAATAACAATTGAGACTATTTCCATGACTAAAGAGTGGAACTAAAGAAAATCTGTTTACTTTACAAACAGAAAAATGAAGACCAAAAGATGTTCTTTAGCATCTTGAGAGTATCAATAAAGAAGAGACAAATATTCTAATGATCCTGAGTTCTAATACAGAATTCACCCTAACTATCCTGGTGTGGCACTGTGGGATGAAGCACTGGACCACAAGGTTAGTTTGAACCACAAAGTTGCTGGCTCAAATTCACTGGCTCAAACTATGGTTCACTGAGTCAGAATCTAATTGACAGAACTTAACAACAGCAACATAGTCAAGGTTATATCTTAGGCTAGAGAAAATTTCTATTGTGGTAGCCATGAGCCATGACAGGACATCTCTCAGATCCTCGTATAATGGACCTAAAGCCCAGCTACCACATTCTGAAGTTTATCACCTTGTTGGTCCCAAGGCCACAATTCCCACACGCTGTTCCCTGTCATGGGCTGACTCTAGCAAGGACAGTAAGACAGGTCTACTCCAGGAAGACAGGCAACTCTAACCATTACCTTTGGCTTGAAAACTTTCCAACAGCCTTGATAAACTTTCCTTAGGATTACAAGGCAGAATAAGATGCATCTACCCAACCTTCCTTCCTTTCCTCTCTCCTTCATTAAGGGTCATAGCCACACTGTGGCCCTAGTATCTATCCCAACCTACTCAGGCTTCTTCCCCCATTTTCTTTTACATGCATTTACCCTAATACATTTCTTGTAAATCAAATGCCATATTTGTGTCTGCTTCTCAGAAGACACGAACAAACACAGCATGCTAGCCACTATCCATCTGTGTAAGATTAAACGCATCTGTGGCCTAAACAATTACCCTGATCCTAAAATAGAATTTAATCAAAAGGGCAGCATTTGCCCAAGAACAAAGTTCCAAAGGCAGAAATATTAAGGAAAGAGGGAAGACCGGAAATAGGAAACACAGAAAGGAAGTGGAGTAAGGAGTGTTACACTGTGGGAACTGCAATCAATGACATGAAACAAAATGTGTATCAATTATCAAATACTTTTCAAATAGAAAACTACTTGCTTTGCAAATCTTCACCAAATTCACAATAAAAAAGTTATAATAAAAATTGAATTTAAAAATATTTAAATTTTTCTAAACTTTAAAGTTAAACTTTAAACAATTTAAACTTTAAACAATCTGACACATACATGAAAAATAATGCTGTAGATAACATGGTACATTAAACATCTTTGCCAAATTCTTTATTTTCCAACATGCCAAAAACGATTTTCACCTTTTGATTAAATTTAATCTCAACTGACAATGCTTCTTCTGGCTCTATTAAGATGCCCTCATTTCTACTTGCTCTCTTTTTAGTATACTGCTTGAACTGGATTCACTACTCTAGGCAGAATAATAACCTGGATTACTGAAAGAAGCTCTCATGAGGCAAGTTTTTACTTGAGCTGATTTTTTCATGTACTCTAGCTCTAAGAAATTTTTTGTCATTTAATTTTCCATAACTGAGCAGTGTGAATCTGAACTTGTGGATCTCTTACTACTACCCACTCCTGGTCTTCGCAAATATTTCAGAGAATATAAGCGTTAAGAAATTAAAATTCGCTTTCTCTTAAGAATTTTGTGACATCCTTTGAATACAGATCTCACAAAACTAGTTGTTCCTAGGTTAACTGTAAAGTGCAGGATATGCCCTGCTAATCAACACAATTGGGGCTGCTAGCTGTTGTTGGATTAATTTTTTTTTTTAAAGAGAAAATATGATTTATATATACCATTTTACTGTAAGTTAAAAATGTACATTCATTCATAAGTTATTCACAGGTCTGCAGATTAGTGCCTTGCATAAACTATACTCAAATATACTATGTATGACTTCTAGCTCAAATTTCTTTAAAGTGAAGAAAGAATTTTAAATGATTTTATGAATGCAAGTATAAATTACTCTAGATTTTTAAATTTCCCTTAAAACTTGTATATTGTTTTATCAATACTGAATTCAAAAGTAAAAAGTACCTCTTTAATTTTTCAAAGCATTTACTTTAGTTTTTATTGGAACAATCAATAATTCTTTTCAGACTTTGTGTATCACTGTGGCATAATATATCTATAACAAACCTGAAGGACCCTTGGAAGGCACAAACTCTTCCACTAGGAAGAGAAATGTGTAAGCCTACTAGAGTGCAGTCTCCTAGCCTTCTGAGCTCAGCTTCCTGTGGCAGCAGGCTCTAAAGAGAGACTCTTTGGATAGTGTTCAGTTAGAACTCTTGTAGATGGTTTGTTCCCTACCTCACCTTTCTGCACTCAGTGCCTTTTGCCCACACTTTTGTCTACACTGCAACTTCCTACAAAGGCTTCTGGAACAAGGAATTCCCCCTTTCCCCTTTGTTGTTCCCACATTTATCATTACTCTAAACCTTTTGTGAGGACATAGCTGAGTATTTATCACAAAGTAAATAATAATATGTTGTTGTTGTGTTGTTGGTAAGTGCCAACAAGTCAGTTCCAACTCATAGTAATGCTGTATAGGGTTTTTGAGGAGTGACTAGTGGTTTTAAGCTCCCAATCTTGTGATTCCAGTACTTATTCTACAGCACCACACCAGAACTCCATAAGATATTAGTAATTCACTTTAATACATGGTCGTTTAAATTTGGGGTATTATTATAATAATTTAATTTCATCTTCCTGACAACCATATAAGAAGGTTTGGTTAGTTTCTGTAAAAGATCAGACAGTAAGTATTTTATGTTTGGCCAGTTTCTTGTGGCATATTGTTTTTAAACAATTCTTATTAAATGTAAAAAACCATTCTTAGCTTGAGGATCATACAAAAACAAACTACTGACAAGATTTAGGCTGGTCAATAATAAAACGTAGAATAGGCAACATCATGCTTCTTATCAACGACAGATACATACATTGTTGGTGGGTGCCTGTTGAGTGTCGACGCATATTGACACTGTATAGGGTTTCCAAGAGTGGCTGGTGAGTCTGAACTGTCAAGCTTGCATTGAACAGACAAGTGCTTATCCGACAGCGTCAAAGCAGGACCCATACCCACGTATGCTGTTGTGTGCCAACTAGTTGCTACTGACTCATACTGACCCTGTACAGGGTTTCCTAGAAGCTCTGGTAGCATAGTGGGTATGAGTCAAGCTGCTAACCTCAAGGTCAGCAGTTCGAAACTAACAGCCACTCTATGGAAGAAAGATGAGTTTCTGGCCCTGTAAAGATTTACAGCCTCAGAAACCCTGTATAGGGTCAATATGAGTTGGAATCAACTCCACAGCATACAACTACCACCACAGGTTTGCCTCGGTTGTAATTATGGAAATTAGAAAGTCTCATCTTTCTTCTGCAGAGCAGCTGGGGAATTCAAACTGCTGACCTTTGGGTTAGCAGGCAAACTCATAATCACTGCACTGACTCCTTATACATATGTATGTTATAGTTGTGTGCTGTAGAGTCAGTTCTGACTCACAGGGACTCTGTATAGGGTTTCCGAGGCTGGAAATCTTTACTGGAGCCCAAAACCTCATCTTCTTTCTGTGTGGCAGCTGGTAGATGTGAACTTCTGACCTTATGTTTAGCAGCCCAACTTATAACCCACTATGCTACAAAGGCTCCTTTCTGCCTCTGAGATGACTCATTTTTACCCCACAGGATGACAAAAGTGACCAATCACAATTAGTCCTGTTAACAATCACTAACAACTGAACCATCTAATCCATCAACATCCTCCCCCACCTTCTCTTATGGATAGAAAAGTTGTTTGGTGGGAGTTTACAAAACATCTTTCTGGTACTCTTCTTCAGTCACTATACATCTGAAGTCAATAATGGAATCCCTTGTCCCACGTCCTCTTCTGAATCTGGCTTGAATTTTGGCAACTCCCTCTCAGTGTACTGCTTCAACCATTTTTAAATTATCTTCAGGAAAGTTATATTTGCAAGTGCTATTAATGATATTGTTCAATATTTTCTGCATTCCATCAGGTCACCTTTCTCTGGAATGGGCACAAATACGTATTGCTTCCCATCAGCTAGCCAGGTACCTGTCTTCCAAATTTCTTGATATAGACAAGTGAGTGCCTCCAGTGCTGCATCAGTTTGTTGAAAAACTTCAATTTGTATTCTGTCGATTGAAAATACCATGGATTGGGATAGGCACACTGTATCCTCAAACTAGCATCTAGTTTTTTGTTAGTGCCTTGTTTTTTTCTGATGTACAGCTTGAACTTCTTCATTCAATATCATCAGTTCCTGATCATATGCTGTCTCTTAATTGGTTGAGCACTGATGAATTCTTTTTGGTACAGTAATTGTGTGTTCCTTCCATCTTTTTTTGATACTTCCTGTGTCATTTGTTATTTCATCCATTGTTGTTGCTTTGTGCCATCGAGTCCTGTCAAGTCGGTTCTGACCCATAGC